GGGGATTCGAACCCGCCACCTTAGGTGTATGTGGCTGGCGCCTTAGCCGGTTGAGCTATAGGCACCGAGCCAGCATTCAGTTCTTAACCATTGCTGCCATAGAACTAACCCCTAAGTGCTCCCTCTCCCCAGGTTCTCCACCATGAGCTGCTGGCCATTCGCGAGGCCTGCATCAAGCTGGAGAAGGACTACCAGCCGGGGATCACTTTCATCGTGGTGCAGAAGAGGCACCACACGCGGCTCTTCTGCACCGACAAGAATGAACGGGTGAGTTCCCAGCGTGTCAGGCCACATCAAGCATGGTCATTAGAGTCACAGAGGTGACCCGGCCTTAGGCACCAGAGAAGGGCTCAGTTTGGTGAGAAATCTTAATTGATAAATCCCATAGGTCTGGGACAGGTCCAAGTGAGATGCCACTTATCTAATAAATTGCCCAAGGAGGTAGCTCTGGGAAAGACCCAGTTAGTTAGAAAGCACAGCAGGGGGTAGCGCAGTCCTGAAGATTGGCAGGGTGGAGTGAACTGGGACCCCAGGTTGCATCCTGACAAGCTGGGGACAGGGTGATGATACTGAGTGTTTGTTCAGCTGAATAGAGAGGACACAGATGGCAGGTAGGTGCGGAGCGCTGGGTTCCTCTCACGGTGCTCTGGGAGGGGCAAGGCTTGTGGACAGAGCAGCTGAGAATTCTCCACAGCTGAAAAAAGATAGGAGTCCTTGGATTAAAATTGTTTTCCATGTTTCTGAGAGCGTAAATACAAAGAAAGCCACACCTAGATACATTGTGCTAAAGAGCACAAGGCGGCCGCCTGAGAAAAGAGACCCTGCCCAGAAAGAAGAGAACTCACGTTTACAACCAGCACCCTGGAGCTGGACAGGGCATCTCTGGTTGATGTCCACTCAGCACCAAGGGAAAGTAACCTAGAGCGCTGGTCCTGGCTGCCAGCCCAGGGCATGAGCACAGGGAGTGAGGACGGGTCAGTGGAGGGCAAACCAGAGTCCGATGTTGTAGCTAGAAAGGGGGTAAAGCAAGAAGGCACAACAGCAAGGAGCCCAGATGTCCCCAACCCAGGGACCTAACATTACATAAGGAAATAAAAACAAAGCAAAACTAACAGAATTTTAAGGAGACATTCACAAGTTCACCATCAATCAAGGAGGGATACTTTACCATACCTATCAGAAGTGGAAACAGGCAAAAATCAGTAAAACCTGAAAATTGGGAGGGTAAAATGAACAGGCAGATGTAACTGAAAGAATCCTGCCCCCCAACTGGGTACAGTAGCTTTCACCTGTCATCACACCTACTTGAGTTAGCTAGGTGTTCTATAGTCCCAGGAACTTGGGAGGCTGAGGCAGGAGGACCAGTTGAACCAAAGAGGTTGCTGTGAACTGTGATGCTCTGATGGCACCACTGAACTCCAGCCTGGGTGACAGAGTTGGTCTTTTACAAGAAAAAAAGAAGACTCGGCGCCTATAGCTCAACCGGCTAAGGTGCCAGCCACATACACCTAAGGTGGCGGGTTCAAATCCCCAGCCCGGACCCG